CTTGCTTGATACCCTGTCAGTATGCCAAGTGATTATTCCACCAGGTGTTCCTGTTGCCTCCATTTCTTTTTCAGTCATCTTCTACCTATAGGTTAATATTTCAGCATCGACTTTGGTGTTTTGTTAGCTTCCATTGCTTCCATGTGTTTCAATCATCTCCTTTAATATCTAATTTTACTTTCACACTTGTTATTTTCCTATAATTTTGTGATCTCTTCATTACTCCCACCAAGACTCTTAGGAACCTCGCAGGAACTGCTAAGTCTCTATTGAACACTTGACCAATAGTTCTGTCATTTCCTTATCCATATTGAAGTTTTGGAATAGTATATACTTTGGATTGTTATCCTAAGATTTGGGAAGCCACATAGTTGCATCGTATATCATAATTTACTTCTAGACTGTCAAAAGATTTTTTAAATTCAAACAGGATGTATGCACTAAGAAGATTGTATTTACATGTTTTTTCAATTACTTGTAAATGTTTCGAGTAATGTCATCAAAAGTATAATTAAGCATGTTCTATAGAACCCATTTTGTATTTCTGACTAAAGTCAGTCAATTATTTTATTTATTTTTGGAAAAGATCTTGTATGCAGTACTCCGCATTCCTCATTGTTACTGTCACCTGTATTTCCTCTTGAATATTGGATGCATTGTCACTATCTTCCATTCAACAGATTTAAGAGACCTTCCTAGCAGACACTTAATATAAGAAGTATTTCATTATAATTTCTTAAGGCATATTTTAAAATATTTATAATTTTAGTCGGTCACATCCAAGAGAAAAGTTTTTAAGTGTGTGGACTATTGGTTCAAATACCCCGAATTCAATAGTGTCTATTAACAAACTATATCATTTCTCTCTTTCTTTTCTTCTGCATTTGAAAAGCAAAATTATTTCTAACAGTTTAAGCCAAATGTACTTCCTGTCGTATACTACAAACTAAATCTTGAAATATATATAAAAGCATTTTTCACATTCTCACTTTTATCCAATTGCCATTTATTTTAAAAACAAATAACTCTTGGACAATTGGATCAAATATAGAAAAATATTTCAGGAAGTTTGGTTGTAAGACCTGCATTTTCATAGGTATTTAAGCACCAAGGTTACTACAAGCAATTTATTGAGAAAATATTTATTTTACTCGTGGACCCAACAATGCTTAGCTATTGCAGTATACTGCATTTCATACACTACTGGTCTTGTGATTGTTAATCAAGCTTTATACTTTGCTGTGCAAAATTGCTAATAGATGAAAGACTTTCTCACAAATATGGGTTTATTCTATGTCCTAGTCTGTTTGTCACGTACCCTAGTGTTAAAACATTCTCCCTCCAATTTAGACAGTCTTGGAGAAATTTGAGTTACTCATCCAAAATAACGTTCAAGTAATAATTTCTGTCGATATTTCACAATCGCAGGGGTAGAATACTTGTATGTAGCGAATAATCCCTGTCTATGCGGCAGAGTAGTGTAGAGTTAAAGGACGCATGAGTCATCATAAACGAATAAATCATCATCAACAAGGTCCCTACATGTCTGATTTAATTCAAATCACTCTTTAAACATTCCCATTAATAATAATAATAATAATAATAATAATAATAATAATAATAATAATAAAGTGTGAAAATGCAAAATGTGTTCAGCGAAATTGGTCGAGTTGAGTTTGCGTCTATATGGAGGACACATGCCGACATTCCCTTTTATTTATATATAGATATATCAGAGATTCTTTTATAGCTGCAATATTATTATCACAAATTATTATCTAGGGAGTATATGATGATAGCATTGCTACATGTAAAAGAATCCCTGAGATCATTTAAATAATATTGTCTTAAAAAATAGCAGTAGTACCTCAGGCACTCAACTCTTAGAATTGAGAACTTGTGAGTAACATTCAATCATTTAGTTCAGGTCATTATTTATTATTTCTAGAATATTTCTTCTATAATTGTATAAACTTTTATTTGTGTTACTTTTCTAGTTTTCTCTGCGAGATATCATCTTATAGTCCCACAAATTCTATGGAAGTTATACATTTTATTGGCAATATCTCAGTCTTCTTCCTATGTAATAGTACATTCAAATATTTTAAGTGTGATACTTGTTCGATATTTCGGTGGTTAATCATGATTTTTGTCCAGATCAGTTTTTTTCTAGGATTGCCTTAGTCTTGGTGTTTGGGATGGAGATTTTTAACGTGTAGTCAACAGATAATATGTCTAGTTTGTAATTAGGCAATTGTAATTTATCTTGTGTATCTTGGATTTGGGTCATTGGCTTAGTATTTCTATGCAAATTTTTATTTAGTTTTTCTTTTCTATAAAAAAAGAATTACTTTAATATGTTCTAAATAATTAGTATAAAAAAATCACTAAAGGCCATATAATTGCATGAATGTAAATTCTTCTTTCTCTGATTTACTTTTAACAAGCGATTTTACTTTGAGCTAACAATTTAAGTAAAAATGCTATCATTGGTAAAAGTGTAATTAGAATAGAATTGGCTTGCATTGTGGGGTTTTCCATTAGATGTTTGTGTTATGTTTACATATAAAACAAAGGTTTAGGAATGTCCGACTGAAATCATAGTGTTGGTGACATAATGCAAAAAATAAAACTATTCCAATTTT